GTCGATGACCATCTCAATCAAGTCGGGGATATTTAGTGGGAAAACTGTATTGTCACATTCCCAAAGTTCGCCCAATTCACCCATTAGTTTAATTAAGTTATTAACTATTTCTTATTGCACTTATTGATATTGCTCGCTTTATGTGGAGACAACCCAGACCTGCAGATATCTATGTTATGGCGAGGTCTTTGAGGTGTCGACTACGACGTAGGGTCTGAGTATACAGCCGAGAAACGGTCTGGGGTGGGTGGGCCATGGAGAGCCCCAACCATGTAGGTCAACCAAAGTATCCTGGCTTTAACCCACGGCCACATAAGTTTCCCAGTGGATCCCAGTTACCACTATATACAGAACTAGGGTTATGTCGAGCTGAATGAAGCTTGGCATTGGAAATTTGATAAAAAGAAACTAGGACACAACAGAAAACTAGGAAAATATATCGGACCCACATTAGGAAAAAACTAGTGAACAAATAGGACAAACAATTAGGGAAAAATAGGACACACAAATCTGGAAACCACAAAACAAGCACCCAGGCAAGATTTGGGTTCTTTCTTTTTGCAATAGTTTTTCATACATGTGACGCTATTTTTCCTATTTTGGATACGGTTTATTTCCAGCTTTCTACTATTAGGATCACACCCAGTGGAAGCTTAACTTCCTCAACATAAATCTAGGGTTTCTGTGGCTTTAGTGTTTGGACCACTGGTGACCAGCTATAGTGGTAGCTGGATGCCCTGGGTTTCTGATCGTTTTTTGGGACTTTTCGGTGAACGGGGAGCAACATGTAGACAAAGTAGACCGTCGTCAACATGTATATATCATTGGTCTAAACACAAAAATACACAGATACCCATTCCCATGTGTGTTTCTTGCACAAGTGCCCACATGTTCATGCAGGTGACCGCTGATAGGCTATGTGATACAGTAGCAGGAACACTGGTGATTGAATCCCTTGCAGTTGTTTCTTGTGAGTAATAAGTAGCTACTAGTAGCAGGTGCATCGCTACTAGCAGCAAGAAGCCACTAGCAAAGGCATCGCTACTAGGCATTACTACTAGAAGCTAGAAGCTAGTGCATTACTAGTAACACGGGATGAATAGATGCAGCAGCAGCTGCGCACCGTCCTAGTCTGGTCCTTTGAAACGCTTCGATCTATGCGAACGGTGGTGCAGAATCCGCTTCAACCGCGAACAGAGGACACCGAACAGCCCTATAAATTGGCCAAACGGGTCACCGCAAAACCCTTGGTTGACTCAACATGAACAGGTGGACGAACCCCTGACAGGTCAACGAACCATGCTTTTGAAGCTGGTGAAATGACCCACACCCCGATTCACCACTCAACGCCCAAACCGACTCTTGGAGCCGACTCTTGGGTGCTCATGACATCCCTCACATGGCCATTGGCCGGCTTCCACGTGTGTGGTACCACTGCGTGTGTGTCCCGAGCGGCAGCTATGCGGCTCTTCGTACGAGATGTGGGAGGGCAGACACTGTCACTGGAGGCTGATGGCCAGGCGTGGGGAGGCTTCAGAGGTCAAATGCGGGTGTTTAATGGTGTTTATCAAGGAATATTTCTGAACTATTTTTTTGGGGGGGGACCATAGGTCTTGTAGTTGTACGCATGATTTCTACATACATATTCTGAATGATTGCGTCCTGGCATGTGATCCATTGGCTTAACCAATATGATTTTGGCGTTTGTGGGGCTTGTTGGCGGGGCATTCCCAGTACTCCGAGGAGTGGGTTTCATGATAAGAATCGTTGGCACCTGCTACAGTAACGATGATGAGCAAAATTGCTCCTTCCCCTGAAGGCTACGCATCTTCCACCGCTCTCCATGCATCGTTCATGGTTCGTTTGTTCCATCAGCTCTTATACTCCGGTTCAGGGTTTGGAACCTTGGCTCCAGCATGTCTTCTTCCAGGTTTTTCTCCGATCCTGCCAGGTGACAGTGGACCAGCTGAAAGCCCAGATTGCCTTGCAGCAGGTGGGACTCATGCTTCACCGGTTTATAGGATGTAACCAAGTTGTGGCATGGCAGGTGGCATGCAGGCATGGCTAGATCAGTTCGAATCAATCAGCGGCACGGCTGGACGGGTTCGGACACATCCACGGCACGGCAAGTGAAATGCGCGCAGGATGTACGTGGACCATCGCCCAGGACTGGTACCACGCCCTAACCCACGCCACCAAACTAAGCATTCTTTTGGAGTGATGGAATTTGTGCATGTGTTGCCCACGCTGATCCGCGTTGATCCGCGTTGGGCAGGGCAGCCCCAAGGTCAGGCACGGCAGCCTCAAAGTTGGCATGGAGCGTACGCGTGCATTGGATTGGGCACTCAACAACCTTTCTTTTTGCCCCCCTCCTAAGCCTCGACTTCCTGTTGTTTTCCTACCATGTGCGTTTTCCATGAAAGCGTCGAATCGTAAATCCGGCTCCAGTGAGACGCAGTGCTCTCCATTAAAATAATATGAGTCTGCTTTGCTTTTTGAAGTAAGTCATGGAGGTTTTACCGCGGCGCAACACTCCAGCGACTGTAGCAAAAATGTATCTTTTAATCCAAAGTGTCCCGGTGGGACATTTACTGCAGGTGTGTTATGCAACTCGTGATCCCTGAATTCCCTGAATCCTTGTCCGCATTTTTATTTTTTTTGTGCAACCGTACCCGGGTTTGTGCCGTCCCTCCGTGGCTTCCAAATCTTGGTGCGGCAGGGTCCCTGTCACTGAAGCCAGGAGTGGTTGACCTGATGTTTTTTGTTGGAGGGCGGCATCTGTTTTCAGTCCGGAGTGGGTACGCCTTCTTGGTGCCTGCAGCGTCGCCGTCACCATTGCCTTCACCATCTTCTTCGCCGCATCCCGATTCCAACTGGTGCGACTTGTAATGAAATGTAGGGAGCGCGCTCCCAATAGAGGGGTCAAATAGAGGCAAAGGGATGTCTGGGAGCCTATGTTCCCAAAATCTATTATCAATGCTGTTATATGTTCCAACAGGGTCATGTTTATCTCGCTTCAATCTTCCATCCGAGCTTGGGCAAGTTTCCTTGCAGTGTGCATGGTCGATCTCCTCAGGAAGAAGGGAGGTCAGGGCGCTGGTCGCGGGCTGCTGGCGAAGCACTCTGTTCCCTCGTTCCACGGAGATTCTGCATGCCATGATCTTGATTTGGTTGCTATGTACCGACTTGCGAGTTGGCCACACTAGTAGTGCCTAACAACAGAATCAATCAAAACAGGTTCCTAGTTGGCCCGAAGACATGCTTTTGAACTGGGTCCATCAATTAATTGACTATCGCAGGGTGTGGGTATGGCCGTTGTCGACCAGATCCTGGGTGAGAACATTTCGGTCTTAGACACATAACGGAGGAACAACTGCACCCAACGTACCGCGCTGCCGCAGGGACTTCCTGTGGACGAGCAGCAGCTGATTTTTGGTGGGAAATCCTTGGAGAACACCCAAAGGCGGGTCTTTGGTGTTTGTTTTCTTGGCCTTGGCGACGGACAAAAGGATGCTAAGAAGGTGGCAGGGTTAGTTTGCAGACATCAGGCCTTTGGCCTTGGGCTTTGCTCAGAGAGAAGAAGGAGAGGGTCTGGGAGTTTGTAAGAATGTATGAAGGAAGCGACTTCCATTTTTCATGTGGCGAAGACCTGGAAGTCTTGCAAAGACCTTCTCCTCACAAAGACATCGAACTTTGGTCCCAACTAGCACGGACCCGGCCTTCCACACCCATTGTCATCCAAATGACAATGGTCCATGAGAAACACATAGAAACACCTCCACTTCTTCTGTGGACCGAGAGGTGGACCGAGAGTCTTCGGTCACGACCTGCCGAGTTCGAGCTGCCGAGTCGAGTCGTCTCTTTGAGTAAGGGTAGGCGCCGCCGACGTCTCTTTCAGTAAGGGAGAAGCTAGGACTCGCTACTAGGAGAAGTTCGCTCCTAGCTGCTAGCTAGGACACAGGATAGCTCACGTTTGATGGACACTTAAGTCCTCTTTGAATCTCTTTGTACAAACACTCGTTGGGCATGCGCCTGATGTCGGAGGACCCCCCCTTTGTTTCTAGAAAAAGTCCAAAAAACAGGTGGCGCCATCCATGCACGTAACCATGATTAGTAGGATGTTCAAGATCCTTGGATCCCTCGTTGAGAAATAGGAGAGGTGCATGTGCTGCTTCAGGCGAACGCGGCGAAGGGTCAGGTAAATAGATACCAAGCTCGACCTGTTTGGAAGCATATTTCACCGATCAGGCCAGGGGTGGTTGAAAAAGGATCAATATACAAATATGCCATAAATATGCCATCACGGAGTCATCCTGAAGTGTTTGGATATCATCCTTCTTATCAGCCGTCTACCTCATCTCCAGTCGTCTACCTTCAGAGGTGGGTCCAAAGCAGAACGGAGCTCCCTGCCCTCCCTGCTTTCTTCGGCAGCCAAGTCCATGGAACTCCTTGGTCGAATGATGATCTCTATATAATTGGTGCAGGGGATGGGATGAAGCATCATGTAATAAAGTACAATTGATATATAACGTTTGAGCAAAAAAACTGATCGCGATTGTCACCCGTCACAAGTGGTCAAAATATGTCAAAATCAGGCGGAGACCGCATTTTGCATTGTTGTGCTTTTGGACGATGGGTTGCCCATGCATAACCACTCCAGCCCGAAAGGATTAGTAAGGATTGGGAACTCACCAAGAAGAGGAGCTCATGTGTGGTGGGATCTATGAGGGGCTGTTGTGGCCGGTCATCATCCTGATTCAGATGTGTTGGTTCTAAAATCAGCATCGGACAAAAATGGAATGTGCACAATCCGAAAGGCGAAGCACTTCAAAACGAATCAAACTCTTCCTGCTTCTTCTGGAGTTTTATTACCAAAACCTCTGTGACATGTTGCTCCAACATTGCTTACATTGACTATTTTTATCCCACCAGATCCATTTGGGCTAAAAACAGCTCCACACCACACCTGACAAAAGCCGGGAATCCTTGAGCCGTTTCGGCTCAAGCCCATTCAAGCTTCCGACATTTTTGCCGTGCCACAACCGGCATATTCCAAGCGCGGTTTTCGGAGGCCAAAGAGTGGGCAATGCGGGGGTCTGAACATTTTTCAACCCCCCCCCCCGCAAACTCACATGGCAGGGGAAAACCCTGGGTTTGTGAAGGACAGTTGTTTTCCGAGAGGCTTGGTTCCATTTCCATGTGATGTTCGTCAGAGTGGTCCCCCCCGGCAGATCCCACATGGGTTCCAACCCGCAGACCAACCCGACGTGGTTCCTCTGCAGGGAGTAGCATGTTGGTGACCATATTGGTTTGCCTCCATTTTTGGTGGTAGTTGCATCCATGAAAGGCTGATGGACCAAAGACATCATCAATCTTTGTGGTCCGAGGGATACCAGACCAATGTCAATGATCTTTGAACGACGAACTTTGAAGACTGGATGAGACTCAGACTTGCCAGAGGTTCTTCCACGTTTGACATGTTCCTGAACCTGACTTCATTCCTACCCTCGAAAATAGGACATGATGACCCATGATGAGAAAAACATACAGGTAAGAGACAGGCTAGCCTGGCACATTTTCCGTGGTACTCACTGAGGCTCTACTTATGAACTTGTTTTTGTTGCTTTTGTTAAGGAGGCACCACCACGGTGTTGTGCCCCGCTGTAGACTCAACGCAGGCCATGGCGGACTACGACGACCGGGTTGGGCTCATCGAGGATGGGCAACTTGCGCGCCGATTGGAGAGACCTGCCACATGTGGCAAAAAAAATGGTTTGTTCATGTTTGTTCTCTGGCCATCTATGTGGTAGGGTTTAGGTGGATTTGTGCCTTTTGGAACCTATTTGATTGTCCAGTAATTTGGTCATATAAACACACACCCACACTAAACTGGCTGAGACTAGAATTCACACTAAGAATGATTCTGATTTCATTGCATTTCATAACTTTTTCGACTCGGGTTTCATACTTCAACTTTCAATATATATATATATTATATATATATAGAACTACTGATACACCACCATGCCACACAACTTTCAGCTATAGGCACAGGTTCTTGATGACATCTATCATGCAAAATCCATTCAAGGAGAATCTCCTCACGGGGTTCATAGAAAAAGGAAGAAACACCATCCCGCCCTCCGGAACCATTCGATCCAAGCTGTCCGTCCACCGGTTGGCGCAGGACGAGCTGCCGGAGCAGCTCCCCGAGAACCTCCGCTCCGTCCGCGAGGGCCATTTGACCCATCGAGGTGGCGACGGTGAGATACGGTGAGCGGCCGGCATTTGGGCGGTGAAGTGGTGACGGAAGCGGCACCGGTGGATGGAGCTTGCTCCGTGTTCTCTTCTTTTTCCGGTTGGATGGAGCTGGGAGCTGGATGGAGCTGGGGGGAGGACTGGTCCGATAGTGGGTCCGATGAGAATTTGGGTTGACCTACATTACTGACGGGGGTTAAAGTTCGAGAGATTGATACAACTGAGTACTTCAAGGTGAACGCTTGTTTGGCATTTGCTGGGTTTGTTACTGTTATTGTTCCTTTGGATGGTTTACCGTTGAAGGGGGGCGAGATCCAAGTGTCAGTAAACTTCCTGCAGTCGACCAACACCTTTTCTTTGTCACGGCGAGTGCCCCTGGCACGATCCCGCTGATTCTGGGTTTTTGTAGATTGTGCTTCTCCCAAAAACCTCCCTAAGACCCATGAACACTTCAGTGAATTCAGATCACCTGAACAGTAAACCCCACTGTAGAGAGAATCTCACATACACTCATTGATACCCTCACTATTTGCATCTATTTGCATCGAAGCACAGAAAACTTCCGGCGCAGAAGCGAACTTTGCATCGATCTTCAGTCCTTGAGCACCTTCCTGGGGAAACTCATCATCCACCTTCCTGCTCGTATAAGCTTTTTACTTGTATACCATTGACCCCTTCATGGCCCACCCCTCAAACCAGATCGGTAAGAAAAAAGGAGAGCTGCTCCCATGGAGTGTCTGGGCTTGTGTTTTCTGGAGAAACCGACCCCTCCAGGTGCCACCGCCCTCTTTCGCACCCTGCGCACCTTGGGCCCTGCCGCCACCGCGCTGCTGCTCGGTCTCGTGCTGCTCGCCGCCGTCACCCTGGCGGCCTTTGGCGGGACAGCGCGCTGGAGCGCGAGCGCTCCGGTGCTTTTGACCGACGTGCTGGATCCGGGCCCTCTCCAGTACTGGCACTGCTCGAAAGAGGCGGGACATGGTGGACGGAGGAGTGTGGACATGGTGACTCTTTTGTGGAACCGGGGGAGGTTGGCGCAGTTGAACCACGGCTTCGTGCTCTTGGTGCTTGTTGTGGACAGTCGTTGGTGCCAGGGGGCATAGTGGGTTTGTGACCGGAGACCGGTCGGTCCCTAGCACCGGCTGGTGTTGGGTGAGGGAAGCCAGACTTGGAGCAGTAAACAACAACCATCACCTTCAGTTCGTGACCTCTTTGGAGGGTCCTCGGTCCGGGCTCTCAATAGGTCACTTTGAATGTCCTGCAACATGCAGACATTTGCAATCCAAATGGGGCGTTGTCTACTTTATGAAGCGCTTCTCCGGTCGGGAGACCTAAGTAGATGAAATATGATGAAACAAGCAGAAGCACCGGTGCCGGGTGGTCTTCCCAGAACTTTTCGTGACTCCAGTTAGGAGGAAGTTTACTGCAGCTCAGGGTAAGGTCAAGTACTGAGAAAGAGCATGGGAAAAGCCTCCTGACCCTGCGGCTGAAGAATCTCATCTGCGAGTGCGAACGTAAGCATGACGATGTGGCGTACGTTCCAAAGGCTGATGTGACGACGTGGCTCGTTCGTCGATGACCCCAACCCTGGGGCAGATCGTTCACATCTAGACCTTTCACGAGCCCATGTGACTTTGACCCAACCTGACGCCTACCATGGCGCAGATACTCCATGTCTGTCATATATATACGCCTACATTGGGGTGGTTTCGTGGGTGATCGGCAGTCCGCAGTCCCAAACGGGTCGTGTCTGGGTGGTGATGGGTCGACCCTTTTCGAACGACTCACGACCGGTTCTCCGGTCCGTCGCCGAGGAGATGAATGTGCCCATGCAAATCCTGGACCGCTCCAAGGCCAAGCGCGGCCCCTGGGACTTCGACTTCTTGGAGGTTGAAACAGGACCGAACCGAGGTCGAATGACGTGGAAAGACGACGCGCGGAAAAGGCCCTGCGGCAGATGGGAGTGATGGGATTGTTCAATGGCCAGTTGAATATCCTTGAGGTTGGAAGGAGTATATTGTACCTAGAACGTATTTGACCTCCTTTTTGATAGGAGAAGGCCAAACAATTTGGATAGCTGATCCTCCAAAACAGGGGGTCACTGATGGTGTTCGTCTAGTCGGTCCATGTTCTCACTACCTCAGTGGAAGGACCACAATGAACGGCTTCCCCAGGGTGCGTGGATACGTGTCGCAGCACAGCATACCATGGCACAGCCATCTACAAGGTTTGACTAGACCAGGTGACCCGTAACGCCTTCCGGGTGAAGATGGAGCAGAACCTGTATGGAGCATGGATTGGCCCCTGGCGGGTTGGGGCGAGATCCATGGGCTGCATATGGCTGGCTTGGTAGACTGGTCTTGTTCTCCGAACCTTCCAGGGGATCGGCAACGCCGGGGGTTCGGCTCCCTGAACCACACATCCATATATGTGATCGATGGATTCTAATAGCTTCTTGTTACTACTAGCAAGGCACTTGTTACTACTAGCGTGGCACCTGTTATTACTAGCGTGGCACTTGTTTCTAATAGCTTTTTTTACAGATATAGCTGAATTGGAATGACGCCCCTGTTCTCCCCTTGAACTTCACTCCAGGAAACTATAAGCGTATCGTCAGCTTGCCCTCGATGGAACATGATGGATTCCATGGGGAGAAGCTGAACGCTTGTGCCATGAACAACCTAGATGAGTACATCTACTGTGTCCTTCAGGCCTGGCCTGGAAGACGGCCGACCGGCTTCCAGGAAAACGGTCAATGAGGGCACTCTTTGAGAGTGGCATTGGAGGTACAGAAAAACCACTGCCTCTCAACATGTTTATCGTTGAACTTGGTGTTTTGGATATTTAGTGGCCGAGCAGTCGGTAGAACGGTCTGTATCACTCGGAACCCCATGATGAAGTTAGTCAGCATGACAAGTTGCATGAATCACTGAATCACCATATGTACTCAGATGTTAGCAGAGGTTTCACGGACAATTCCCACATTCAGCTCACTGTCATATAGGCAGCCCATGGAAGTGTCTACGAGACCTACTGACCCACTGAGCTTTCTGGGACTTTGTGACCGCCCGCCTCCGATCGGTCCACTCAGCTTGTGGGAGATCTTCCAGGTCGATCCGGAAGAAGGAACATGACCAAACACATTGGTTGGGCGTCGGAGTCTCCCTATGTCTGATCTCAACGGTGTCATTGATTTACCCTCCATCCTCAGCCCATGTCGCGAGATTTCCGTAAGCCCGCAAGGGCTTGTGGGGTCTTCCATGCAAGCCTGCTTCAACTGAGTCCTTTTCTAAAAGCTCGCACGGCACACATCGCCGATGTTCGTTCTTCAGGGCAACCAGATCAAGAACTTGTTTTTGAAAGGCAGGGTTGGAAGCTGTCACGACCTGGCTTTTTGGAGGGCCAAATCAAATTTGGTGTGAACCTTCGGACTCCGAATGCCTTTCCGAAACACCAGTGAAACAGTGGTCCAAAATGGTGATGGTTTGTCCGTGTTTGTCCGGGTTTGTCCATGTCATGTCAGCAGGTGCGCAAAGACAAGAAGTATGAATTATACATTGTGCGGGTTGGCATCGTTGACTACGACACCAAATTGGCCGGCATCCACTTCGTCGCGCGCGTGCGACGCTGGGTAACTGTTGGTGGATCGTTCGTCTTTGTCAATTAAGGGGCTGTCGACGTTGTCCCAAATCCCCAGCATCCACACTTGAAATTGAGTTTCCCTTGGACATGTCTCAATGTGACCGGAACAAACAAATTCGGTACATTTTGGTTTCTGCCTGTCTTGTCCGTTTTTCAACCCTCTTAATCTTCATACACCTTCCGTTGGATCTCTTCCATGCACCCAGCCCAGCAAGCTTGCGTTCTTCTCCCAAGCGGTTCCAACTTTCTGGCTCTGTTGTGCATGGTGTGGCGTGTCTGAGTTTTTCATGAACATCCACCCTTGTAGGGTCCTATGAACTGAGCAGCTCTTCCTCAGAACTGCAGATGAGGGCCTAGCAAAGCTCGATACCACCGTCTGGGTCGCCCACAGGTCGCGACCCAGTTTCGGGCGACACGAGCTCGACCCCAGACGGTCGATAACCCTCGGTGGTGTTCAAGTACCCAGACGTGACCCTGGAGCCGATGGAGGGGCCAGACCCGAGGGGTTTTGAGGGACCAGTCGAGCTGTTTGGAGCTTCTGGGTATAGAACTCAGCACCACTCGGGCTGGTTCGAGACATCCCATCGCAGAGTGTGGTGCGTGGCACCTGCGCTGAGGACCGGGGAGCATCTACTCCGCTGCGTTCGACATGGACCGTGCCGGGTTCTCTTGAGTGGGCCAGGGTGGACTCCGGCAGATTGTTTTGGTGCGTGATGTAAGTGATGCTTGTGTTGTTTTCCCCATCCAAAAAGGATCTTCTGGACACCCAAGAAACTTTTGTCATTGCAACACACTTTGGTTCTTTTCTGTTTTCCAGCTGGTCAGCCTAGTTTGTTCCTTGAATGATGTTCATCCCGGGAAAGGATGTCCACCAGTTCCATGGAGTACTATGTGACCCTGTTATAATACAATATATTATAATATCATACATACCCTGTTTGTTATACATCAAGCCCCAGCCCACAAGCCCGACCCCAAAACCACATATATACCCGGTTTGTTATACAATATGTTATATGACCCTGTTTGGAGGAACTCGCTGTGCATCCACGGACCTCACATCCCCGGACGGGACCCGTCGAGACGACCAGACGGGACCCGTGACCCGTTCTGGTTGTTTTGGGTCTGCAGGGCCTGAGAACCAGCGGAAGACCCTGTTGTTTTGGAAGCTTTGGGTGAAGCTGTTGGTCGATTTCTCGACCGAATGCCAGCAAATTCTTTGGGTGAAGCTCAAATCTTTGCACTGCGTCGAAACGGGCCAGGCCATACACTGAAGAATCACTGAAGAAATTGCTTGAATTCTGATGAGTCGTAGCAAAGCTAATGTTTCTGGGTCATTCATCGATTTGGACTACAACTCAGAACCACGAACCGAATCTGTTGACACGCAGAGAAGAATTCAAGAAATTTCATGAATATATGATATATGGTTGCAATTTGGACGGGGATGGGGAGTAAAAGCAAGAACCACCAACTTTTGAACTGTTCCAAAGAATCACCAGTCTCAACATCTTGACCCTCAAGAGATCCTTCACCGCCTCTACATGGACGTGGACACCACGTCCACGTCTGCAGGAGTTTTTTTTCTTCTAGTTTGGGCCCAAGAAGCTGCACTTGAGGATAGGAACAAGAAGCTACTAGGGGCTCCTGGCATCGCTACTAGGAGCAAGGACGCTTCTAGGGGCTCCTGGCCATACTAGGAGCAAGGATGCTACGTTCGGGGCTCCTGCAGGAGGGGACCTTCTACTTTGGGCCCAAGAAGCTGCACGTGATCAAAGATCTTCACTTGGCCGAGGGCAAATCCTTCCTCCTGCGTGCCTGGGCGAACGGCTGGGCTGACGGAGTTCGCTTCACAGGGCAGGGGGAGGTTTCCCAAAGAATGCCGAAGAACGCGCATGCCCCACGATTTGGAGTTTGCACCCTCAGATATATATCCAGCAGATTCGGAGGTTTCCCAACCTGCTGTGTTCAGACCGAAGAATTTGTATCTGGTGTGAGATGATGTGCATGGCTTCGCAGTTTTTTCCAGACTTGCAAGGCAGTGAAGCCATGAACCTGATGAATGCGCCTGGGCTCGAGCTCGACCAAGAAGAAACGCCGCAAGCTGGGAGTTTATACACAATGTGCAACCGGAATATGGAATCTTTTCTACTTTCATGCTGGTTTTGATTGATGCATTCTCCAAATGCATCCTGCATGGGAATCTCCATGGAATCTCTCGGATTTAGCTGAAGAGGAACCAACGTGTAAGTGCCAGAAAGAATCCATTCAAAGTCATTCTCCCTATATAGTTTAAGACACCCTCCAACAGTCATGGAAGTGGATAACAGCCTCCTGGAATACTCCTTTCCTCAACAAACAGGGGGTCGTCCACTTCCATGTTTGTTTCAGGGAGTTGTCTTACAGCTTTTCCAGGTACCCGGTATACCGCCTCAAACATTTCACGGCAGCACGGCAGTAGAGGCCTCAGATGCCTGGACCGTCCGACCGATTTCAGGGAGACAAATTGTCTTCTTTGTTGTGGGTGAGGCGGTGTGGCGGTGAGGTGGTGCTCATGGGGCCGGATCCACAGGACGGATCTACCGTAGGCCTCCAAACGAAGAGGGGGAGTCAGGGAGACATTCATTCCTACTTGATTCCGTGCAATCAAATATGTAGTGGATTGAAAGGGATATTCTTGACATGCCCCACCTGTACTCCTTTCCAAGCTAAGTAGCAGCACCTCTCCTGGTGATTGTGCATAGCCTCGCGGCTATTGAGATCCAGTTTGCCTCTCAAGTTTTTTCAACAAACGTCCCTTGTGTCGGGTGTGCACCCGAGGCACCTAGCTACAAGGTTCACAAAGACTGCCAGGGCGCCGATTATGCCTTTTGGGAGAAGGCCGTCCAACACGGAGATGTTTGGTCAACGAGTCGTACAACTTCTTTGGCGTTCAACCAAAGACGCCAGAAGCTTCTAGTCAACTAAAGGTTACGTAGACTGTTGCACCAAGCCTTTTGGGCGAAAGACATACAAAAGGTTTCGGTCCCAACTCTGGGTTTTCGGTCCTAACATGTCCTAACACTAGACGTTGCTTGGTCGCCCAAACCACCCAAACCCCTTTTTTGGGCAATTCGTGAGCATGTTGTTTGTTTTGCTTATATTTGTTCGTGGTGTTGGGTGCTTTTCGTGGCTTTGTGATGCAAGAAGCGTACATCGTTTCACGGCAAAGCTGCGCCGCAGAGCTACCCGCCCGCTTTCGTCGCGAGCGATGGTGTTTCCGCCTCTGCGCCCGGAGGAAGTGGACGGAACGATGGTTTTGGAGATGGCGCATTGGCGCTCTCCTCACGGTGGTTTTGGACACCATTCCTTTTCCGGGAAAATCGGGACATAAACTGGATCAATCATCAGAAATCCATCTTCAAAAAGTCACCTGGCAGAGCTGTAAGAGGATCGATTTTGTGATCTTGCCCTATACTCTACCTATTTGGGTAGCTGCCCCTACAGAAATGACACTCAGCTCTTTGTTAGACAGGGAGGGCCAGGTGGTGTAAAACACAGCAAAAGACCTCGCCCTGCTCTTCACATGTTTTCCGTTCTGTCTTGTTTGGGTATGTTTGGGTGGCTCGCCCACCTGGAACAACAATTATATCATCGCCCAGATCGCTCGAGTCGTTTCTTTTCTCTTTTCGACGGCAGGAGGTGGATGGGAAGAAGTTGAAGATTCTTTGGATGCTCCGAGATTTCAAGGCCGGGCACGCCATCGCGCTCGAAGCAAGTGCTGGGTCCAGTGCTTGGCTTGCCCGAGCCGAACACCGCGGTGGAAGGAGCGGAGCGGTGACCGGTTTCGGCCACGTGTGAGGTGTGACCAGGTGGGACCGAGCCCGTCCTGCGCTCCTGGGTGACGGCCTGATGGACTACGGCAAGCCTCTATGCTGACTACGTGACTACATGACTACGGACTCGGATGAACCATGCAACACACCCCTGCAACTTTTCCGTGTAGGCCGCTTCAGCCCTGGAGCCCTGGTCGGTGAACGACCGACACCAGGTAGATCAAACCAGACCCAGAGCCATATCCTGCAGGTGTTTGGCCTCCGTCCCGGCGCCCCGCGTGGGCGGACCGCGTGGAGACCGGGCGATAACGTCTAACAGTCGAAGAGAGGCAAGGACTTTAGAGAGGCAAGGACTCCATTCTACTCTTTCATGGCCAAACACCTCCATTCTTCAAGCACTTGGGTGTGTATTTTTCAGCGAGATCTCGTCTCCGGCGTAGACGGTAGACGGTGTTCCTGGAAGAAACCAGGGGGTCGGGTTACGCCGGCGGTTCGGTCTCCAGTACCGCGGAAACGAGGGCGACTGACCGAAATACCACGTGAAGAGATCTTCGTGTGCTGTTTAAATATGAAATAGATTGAAATAGTGAGCTGGGTTCCGGTGAAACCATCCAAGTTCTCAGCTAGACTTGTTTCGGGAAGACATGACAAGTTGGCGTCACAGGTCACAGCCCTCGATGTGACGACGCCGGGACAGGCGACCTGCAACCCGGCGCCGCCAGGGGGAGGGATCCAGGGTTCGGCCGGGGTCGGCCGGCGGAAGTGTTTTTGGGGTCGTGAAAATTCAGGATGTGGTTCTTTTGCGATCTTTTGTGTATTATATTGATTTATCTTGTATTCATCATGATGTGTTTTTAATTGGTAATGTCTTAAACAGAAAAACAACAAGGTTAGGACAGGAGGCTCATGTGAAACATTCGATAGGAGCCGGCAGAGACCGGCAGAGTGTGAGATTTTGGCATGTGTCAGAGCGACAACACCTTGGATGACTCGTATGACTCGGATAGTGGTGTTGAGCATTGACTCGGATGACTCGCATTTCCCACAGCCCTTGGACCATGAGAGAGAAGCATCCGACTCCAGGACAGAGATCTATTGAGATCCACGGATGCTAAAGTTGTACATCACCATCCGACATGGACCCTTACGGTAAAACAGGGCAAACACATGCAAAAACATGCAAAAACCATCAAAAACCACCGAACATGAAGGCAGATATTCCATACATAGATTCTTTGGGCATTTCTACATCGATGTGTCGCTCGACACCTCCAGGGGAACGCAGAGGGGAATGCACAACAAAGAGACACGCACACACACACAAACAAACAGGGAACCTTTTTGTTTGAGGCTGGATCATTCTGTGAACAATTGTTTTGACAATTACTTGAACATGTTTCTGCACATTATATAGACTCAGAACATAGACCTCGTCAGCTCATGTCAACATGATAACGGCTTACAGTGGAATCAGAACTTCTCCTGCACTGCTTGGAGCAATTTCCCACTCAAAGACCATCATGTCACCTGGTGCGTCTAAGGAACTGAGCAGAACTTGAATCCACCAACAGCAGGACGCAGAATGAACAACCACAGGAACTAGGCGGTCCTACTACGGACTCCCCCCTTCCCGGTGCTTCCCGGGCCGTCCTACAACGGGGTCCCATTCGGCCGTCGGCCTTTCCATGCGTCGAAGTCTTCCAAGGCAAGGTCTGGAAAAGCGACGGGATTCCCAGCAACACCAGAGGTCTCTCGGCGCTCGTGACGGGTGCTTTGGGTATGCGGTGATGGGTATGTGTCATATTTTTGCATTGTGGGTGCCTCCTCGCTTCTGACATTTTTTGCTGAACAGCAAAATCCAAGTGATTGGTGCCTTTTGGCATGCCGTTGATTTTCTGATTTTTGGTTGGTGCCGGTGCTCGAGATCGCCGCGGCACAGTTGGGTATCATGGTCACGCCTTGGCCACCAACCGAACAGAGAGAAAGGGGGGGGAAATCGAAAATTGGGCAGATGAGTCATGAAATGGGAGGTGCTTGTGGTTGAGTTGAGGTTGGGCCCATTCAATTCACCAGTCAGCAGCTCACCCCCGAGTATTTGGGGGTAGGGAAGAGATCAGCGCTTCCATTGCCAGGTGAGGCAACATCTTAATTGAACGATGTTGAATTGACGTAGATAAACCCGCCCAATGGACAGTGGGATACAGTTGGAAGAGATTTCGCCAGGCTTCCAAGCCTGGATTTTTGGTCTACGTAGTTTCCTTCAGGTAGTCACCTTGAAGGAATCTGGAGTGTATTATATACAGGTGTATTACATGAGGATTTGGCCAAGTCTATGGTGTGGGTTGGCCTTCCTTGTTCCCTTATTCTTTCGGGGGGCTATTCCCCCATGACCATCTCCAAAAGGGTTCCTATGCCCACTTGGATTCACCCAGTTGACAAGTGAGCTCGTGTCATTCTGCATGCTCATCAGCAGGGTAGAAGGCTGTACTCTGCAAGATGTGGTAGTGGAGTAGTTGTACCCTCCCTGGAGCTAACATGGTTACGTGGATGGCACCACCTGTTTGTCGTGGATTTCATGGTCTTCTGAACTCGGTGCCATGACATCCACAGTGGAGTTGCTCCGATCGAACGCTCGTCTTCGGCCTCTGCTTTCGTCTCCCCCCACCGGCCACCGTGGTTTTGATCGCGGAGCGACGAGGAAATACATGTCCTTAGGACACTATGGCGCCGGGTGGACGTTCAAGAAGCCCGATGGCTCTGTGGCGGTCTACTTCTCCAACAACGCAGGTAGAGGCGCAGAGTTCCTGGCCCCGTTCCTGGTGTTCGCCAGCGTTCGTCACGAACAGTTCATGGTTTCAAGTAACATAGGGCGGCCTGTAGAACAGGAGTTAAACATTGTGACACTGTAGTCGTGTTTTGTATATTTTACATCTTTTTACATGCGTTTAATATGTATATATATATATATATATGTGTAAGAATAATATGAACGAATGCCTCATCAATTTCAAGGGCGCCCACTGTTTTCCTTGAAAGGGTGGAGTTCAAGGCAGGAGGGCTTTCCTTCTATGAGGTGCTGATGCAGACCTTGGTCAAACAATGGCTTGTGGAGAGTCTTGAAGCTCCACAAACCACTTGGGGGTACCCCAGTCCTTGGGTCAGCCACAGAATATGTTCCATTTCACGGCAAAGGCTGTGGAAAAGCACGGATTTTCCGAACTTAAAACACAAACCTGGCTTTTCCACTTTAAGATCAGTCGTCAATTCCTTGGACCCCAGGACTTTTTTCCGGGCGAACCACGAACACGGCGGTTCCGAACCTTGGACCTCCGACTCCGGACGAGTTCGGCGAAGCGGCGGCCGAAGCGAGGCGTCTATGGGATTGATCACAGCCGGCTGGATTTGAACTCCGAAAGCTGGATGGAACTCAGTATGTTGTTCCTTTTTTTTGTGGAGGTTTTCGTTTTTTGAGGCTAGGTGCCCAGGCAGTTGATTTTTCTTGGTTGCTTTTGAAAGATTGTGGTTTGAAGAGGTTTGAAGTTTGAAGGAGGGTTAAAGATGAGTTCAGACATTCTGATTTGATTGACCTGTTCTTTTCTTTCTCATAGGACTCATAGGTCATTGACAGAATTATGTTTTTGTTGTTTGGTGTCATTTTTGATGGCCTTTTGACAGGTTTCAGGGTTTGATGTAGGCTATATAGGTTTTAAGCTGTATTTTGCTGGGTTTGACCGATGGTGTCTTATTCATTGGCCTTGGCAATGATTTCTTCACCCAGTGGTGAGGCCAAGCCAGGGAGCCCCGGGACTTCGGGCCTTAAAACAAGGCCACAAAAGCCCAAAAAACAACACAAGGCATCTCAAGTCTGCATGAATTATAGAGATTCTTTCAGCCAAACTGATTTGAATCTCCGACGCCTCCTGCCACGAATGCCTCAAATGCCGCCCCAGCCGGCGACCCACCGGTGCTTCGGGTTCGCGACCGCAACGCCCTGTCGTGCTCAGGACACGATTCACATGTACAAAGTGGGCGAGTCAGAGGCGAAAGTCGGCCCGGTGGGTCGGACCAAAACATGAGCCATTTCGACCCACAAAACTGCTTGAGCTAAGTAGATATATATCTATATATATAAATCTTCTCGGGTGGACCGTTTACTTGGCTTGCGTTTGTCTTGCCTTCGTGGCAACAGACCTCAGCTCGGGTGAATTCCATGCGCTGTGCGCACCGAGGACATAATTGGCACCCTTGACCTGACAAAGGCTTTTCATGGTGGTGCAGAATGGCGGTCAGGGTTGATATGGCTTGATATATCATGTGCTACTTTGCAGTGTGCTGCGCGTTCCACTACCCACTACCCAAAGGCTTCAATGTATGGATACCATTAGCGACGGATACACCGAAGAGATAATATCAAGATATATCAAGATATATCTTAAATATATTATGAGGGTTCTGGATTTTTTTACCCATTGGTGGTGGTGCTTTGATCCGACTGGCGAGCTGGGTAGTAGTTGTTAACTTAACAGCTTTTGACACAGGGACACCTAGTGGTTTGGCAGCCTGGAACACCTATTGCCAGATGACGGCAAGCTGTTCCATGGATCTTTGGATCGTTCACCGTTTTTTGAAGGATTGCCATTAGCCAAGACCGAAAAATGAAACCAAAAAGGAGTGATCCTGTACATGTCAACAGCCAGGGTAGAGAAGGACAAACAGAGATACAGTGGTTTCCGAGTTGATGGCAGGGGGTCCATGGCAGGGGGTCCCAGCTTCTGTAAGGTTGCCAGAGGCAAGCGGAACGGAACGGATCTCGACCGAAGCAGCGCTGCACCTCGATCAACTGCGCCAGGCAACCAGTAAGAACGATGGTGCGAATTGTATCACGGCTTGCAAGCAGTGACATATCTGACAATGTTGGGGGTGATATTTATAGGTCAAAGATGTTTCACCGAATTTATTTGCAAAACTGTGTAACCTTTTGATATGATTCTGCAAACTGTGGATCGTTCTTCTTTAAAACAACACGTCCGTTCATCGGTAGCCGTTCGCTTCTCTCGGTCAACGCTTTTTTTGGCAGCCCCTTTTTTTAGGGCTCCAAGGACCCTCTGAGCAGGGTGGAAATGGGTGGAAGATAATGAGGTGATTTTAAATGATTGTAATGTTTATATATAGACCGTAATTAGACCTGTTGTGACTCCTGACCTGTCATTTGCAAGCTAGCTTTTACCCGTTTGAAACCAGGCTGCGCACGGATGACCTAGAGTAGAAGGGCAGTGCATGGCGTTATCTCAGAACTCGCAGATCGAACATTTCGACTTCAATTCAAGATCTGAGAAAAAGTGCGGCTTCGGCTTCCATCCTCCTTCCCCTGGCCCTTGCTGTCTTCTAAGCTCTTTGGGGCCTCTTCCACTTCTCCTTCCGTCCTGTCTGGGCCCTCCGGCCATCGCCCCGTACATGTCAACGGTAGTCGTACAAAAGAAGGGCTGGGCTGGGCAGGGCTGAGGTGTCCAAAGGACGTATATGAGATTATATAAGATTATATAAGTATACTATAGTATACTGGATGGTGCTGTGTTCAAACATGTTCCAATGAGTTCCATGTAGCTGTGCCCAGGTATGAGCATGTCTTCAGTCTCGCCCTTTAAAGCAGAGCCACCGAAGTTCCTGGCGCCCATCGAAGAAAAGCCAGCTGTGGAAGAGAAGACAGAACCAGAGCCAACTAAGGAGATTGCTGGGCTTAGGGAATGCTGGATGACCCAAAGAAACAGCATCACACTGACATGTTCTGTGTTTTCTGTTGGCATGCATAGAATCGCATCGACAATTACTAAACTTAGCTAGATATTAGTTCATTCAATTAGCTATTACATAAGTATATCTATGTAGTATATTATACTTTGGTATAATTTGGTATAATATTTGTATGTACACATTTTGTTGATTATTTGATCAATTTGATAAAGTTGTTTCGAGTAATACCAGGGTCCGATTTGACGAAGTTTTGACTGGTGGTCCAGGAAAAGACGCCTCCGCCATCCAAGGAGATTGCTGGCCGGTCTGGCTGGAATCTTTTGTGGTGCATAACTTGAAGAAGCAGTCATAATGTCTTGATTCTGGATTGTTCCCCACCTGCCAGGTGAGGGTTGTTAGATTTTATCACAGCTGTTCTTCCTCCGCCTCCGCCTCCGCCTCCGCCTCCGCCTTCGCCTCCGCCTCCGCCTCCGCCTCCGCCTCCGCCTCCGCCTCCGCCTCCGCCGCCTCCTCGTCCTCCTCCTTCCTCCTTCCTCCTTGCTTCCTTCCTCGCCAATCTGCTTCGCCGATCTTGTCTGGCCAGCTCCGGATCGCAGTGTGCACCCCTGGACCTCAACCGCAAGGATCCCCTCGCAGTGTGCACCCCTGGACCTCAACCGCAAGGATCCGATCGCAGTGTGCATCCCTGGACC